TTAGTTACCCATTTACATGCACACACACCCTGCCTCCGTTAAAAATGTAAGCTCCGGTGAGCTCTGGTGGCCTCGTGGCAAGAAGCTACACTGCAATCCCAGAGGTGTGTGGTTCAAATCCACCAGATGCTTTGCTGGAGAAGGAGGAACAATCTCCTCCTGTACCAGTCAAATCTGATTTGACGGTACATACACACACACAAAATAATAAAAATAAAATTTTTTAAAAAAGCATTTAAAAATGTAAGTTCCATGAGGGGAAGGACCATGTCTGTGTTGCTCACATGTATGGACCCCAGTGCCAGGGACAGGTGGGACACAGGAAAGCACAAACTCATTGGCATTTGGTCAATTCCAACTCCTACCAACCCTCCATCAGGGTTCTGAGGTGGAACGTTGTAGCAGAGGAGACTTTTTCCCAAGGAGTCGCTGGTGTCCTTGAACAACCTAAGGGATACTGCCTCGTGTTAGTTAGCACGTACAACCTGTTACAGCTGACACCACCAGAATACCCTACGGTACACAGAAAGGATTCAATAATCAATAAAGGTAGACATCTTTCCCATAGAGAACTAGGATTTTTCTATGTATGGTATGGCAAGATACAAGATGTTCATCAGGTCATCTAAATGCAAGGCCCTATCCTTAACAATAACTACAGCATTAAATGTCTTCCTTGGGCAACCTATTATACTTACTGCTTTAAATCTACCTCTCCACAATCAAAACTCTTGGAACCAACAGTCAGAAAACCAAAAGACACATTGAATTAGGAAAGTGTGTTGTCAAGGACCTCTCCAGAGTGCTGAAGTGCAAAGATGTCACTCTAGAGACTAAGGTGCACCTGATCCAGGCCATGGACTTAACAATTACTTGCTCTCCATCAGAAAACTGGACAATGACTAAGGATGACCGACAAAGAACTGAAGCCTTTGAGCTGGTGCTGGAGAAGAGCACTGCAAAAACCATGGACTGCCAAGAGAACAAACAGGTCTGTCCTAGAGAGAGTAAATCAGGCTGTTCTTTACAGGCAAAGATTTTTAAGCTCCATCTCACCTACTTTGGGCATGTTGCCAGGAGGGACCAGTCCTTAGAGGATATCCTGCTTCGAAGGGTAGGAAAACATTCCAGGATAGGAAGACTCAGGGTGAGATGGATTGACAAAGTGACTGGTGTATTAGGTGCAGGTGTATCAGAGACAGTGAGACTGGCTCTGGACAGCACAGGGTTCAAAGCTATTGTATATAGGGTCACTATGAGTCATAGGCGACCTGATGGCACATGACAACAACAACAATAAAAAGAGCTGCTCTGGTGGCCTAGTAGGGAAGGAGTCGCACTGCTATGCAAAGAGACTGTCCATCTTTCCTCCCAGAACAGGCGACTTGATGGCATATAATAACAATTAACAATCCTCACAATGGAGGTTGACAGCACTTTTACAAGAAACCCAAGGCTCAAAGAGCGTTCATGATCAAAGATATTATGGATAAGGCAACAATGATTTGACAGCAAGAAAGGACCCTGTGCTACTTCAGATCTAAACTTTACTTCCACCTAACTGATATCATCCAATGGCGCTCAGTGCGTCCCAAGGGCAAATGATCATTCAGGGCCATATACAAATTGAGGAGTGTTACAGCTCCAGCAAATTGTTGTCCTAAAAATTCATTCCTTCTCAAAATATTATCAACTTAATAAATAAATACCTTCAGGGTGGAAAGAACAAGTGCACTCAGGGTCACACAATCAGCAAGCAGAACACGATCAGGCCCAGCTCGGATTCTACAATCTGCTCTTTTCATGCAGTCTTCAATGTAAATGGGATGTATGACCTCCAGGGGTGAGCTTCCAGCAGGCCTGGACATGAGAAACCACAAATACGTGCCCCATTTTTGGTGTTAATGTTCCCTGATGGTAGGTAACAGAGTGGATTCTGTGTTTATAAAAAAAAAATGAGAAGATATATTTTATAGTCTAATATTATAATCAATTTGGAGAACATAAAAGACAAAATACAAAATGCGAAGATGTTTCACATCTATTGCTCAGGCCTCTGTCCTGGGAATCTCGAGGAGAAGCCTGACAAGTTATTATCTGTCATTCGGTTTTTCTTCACTTTAGGTCCTTTTTACTTATTGCTACATTCCTCCCCCCGCCCCCTGAAAAAAACCGAGAATTTCAACTCAAGCTTCATTTCCCCACTCGCACCCTAGTCTCACTAGACAAACTGAAGAAGACAGTAGCGTATTAGTCACAGGCATGTCACTTTCAAAGCGGCAGTCATTTACAAGGACACCTTTTTTGTAGGTACAATAAATCTGATTGATTTTTATTACACATCTTAGTTTACAATCACCTTTACATTCCTAGACAAAGAGATGATACAAATAAATAGCAATTGTAAAACTTAGAGCCCCAAGTATTGGCATAGTCTTTGTCTAAAGATAGCCAAAGAGAAGGTCAAGATCAAAAGTAACTCCAAGGAGCCATAAAGACCATCCACACCCACCTAACTCCAGCATCACTCCCCTCATGGTGTCTAAAGCATTTCATTCCAGGTACAAAAAGTGGCAGAGCTCTGAACAATGCAAGACCAAGGTTTGCACGACAGACATTAGCCAGCACCCCTATTCTTACCCAGTTTTCTCCAAGCATTTTTATTATGATAACCTCACTGTCATCCACTGAAAGTGTATAGATGGTCTAAAGAGTTGTCTGCAGGACTCCTTGACCTCATGTGGGAAACATGAGGCAGAACTGATAGATAAAGCCTGTGTTCACAGGAAATCGACACTTCTCGAAAACTTGGCAACAATTCTACATTCAGTGAGGGAGGACTTACAAGAATCAGACAGGAGGAGCAGAGAGGCCCACACCTGCTTGGCAGAACTCTGATGCCCGTGATCATGGAGGTGTGGATGGAGCAATCCAAGCAGCATGCAGGTGTAAGAAGGGGTACAATCCAACATTAGGTCAGAGTCTTAAGAAAGTGCTTCATGCCTATGATTTGTAGCCTTGAGTTCTGAATCCAGGTGCCTGGGAGACTTTAAAATCTAAAGCCAGATCTGGTCTTGCTAATTGGGGCAAAGAGGGATCTGATGAGGGTTGCAGGGTCTCAAATTCCTTCTCCCAGAGAATCTTCTTAGTTTCTTACAGTCTTACTTCCAGATTTCACTAGCTGCTGCTGGTGTGAAGACACGCTGATGGTATGGAACCTTTTAGTAGGACTGCGGACAGGAAAACCTTGCCGCCGGATGGGCTTAAGAGGTCTACATATTTGCCGCAATTCAGAACCCAAACCAGCAGCTTTCTGGCAGTGGTAAGACATTCTCCCATCTCCTCTATCCAAATATTTATGGAATCTATTCTGAGAGAAGAAAAGCACCAGAGACTGCTAGGAAGGGGGCAGCTTTATGTGTCATGGGGGCTTCCTTTTACTGTGTTTCAACAGACCAGCAGGAGCAGAGCACAGCCAGGTACAAGGGCTTTATGACCCTGCCTGTCAATTTGACCATCTTCTTTTGCCTCCTTAGTAAAAGGTCTACATGTAATTCAACACCTTTGGTCAGAACACCCACCTCGAGACATCAGTATTATGGTATAGTCATTTGCAATTTGCAATTCTCAGACTGGCTAGAAATAAGATTTTCAACCTGCAGAATTCAGACCAGCATTGAGGAAATGTGGTACAAGACACAGGTATAACGTGAAGATAATCATCTTAGGCTATACACGTCATCCTGTGATTCTTCTTCAAACAAGCAGACTTCTGAGTATACCAAGAAGCCAGGTGTGACTCCAAGAAAAGATGAGGAGAAGCCTCATTATATAAGCTCTGGGAACTTCTAAAAAGGAGCTCTGCGTTCAAAATGAACGGTTACAAAGAAGGGAGATGAGCTGCCAATGACAGTTCTCCATTTTGCCAAAGGCTTACAACATTGCACTTGGTACCTCCTCTTTCCCGTGGGTTCTGATCCAGAAATGTGCCTAGGGGACTGAGCAGCTGAGTTAAATACCACCCAAGGCCCATGGGAGTTGCCACCTTCCTGCGGCACCATGCCAGCAAGGTGCGCAGTGTGGCAGACCCAGGGACTCATACTTTCCCCTCAGGCTTGGCTCATGGATGTAGACACCCATATGGGAGCACTTCCAGCCAGGGTTAGTCATTCAATGGGCCTTTAATACAGACAAAAGGCAACAGCCACACATTAGTGGATTGCTACACTTGAGCAAGTCCTTGGTCTCTCTCTCACAGAACACAGGCATCCTTGTACTTGCACACCCACACACTCTTGTGAGCTTCTCTTGGGGGGGGGGAATGAATAACATATACCTTATGACCAACATAAAACGAAGCTGTGAATCTCAATAAAACAAAGAACTAAAACTTACAAATCAAACTAGTATATGTAAACGGGAATTTCCAGCGCTCCTCTGAGCTTCTTCACTCGTACAGCTGTACCGTGCCACCACCTCGGGCTCCACGGGGAAGAAGCCCAGGGTTCCAGGATCAAGCGGTTTTTTTTGCTGCAGGCAGGAATTCTTTGCTTCCCTCTGTTGTCTTCCCTTCCTGTGGCTCTGAGTGTCACGTCGCTCCATCTCTGCATCTGCCTGAACACCGTTTGTCAAAGTCTCCACACCAATATGGAACAAAATGGGGCATTCAAAAGTACCTCTGTACTTCTCTTCCCTCAACTCTGGTCCTGTCCGGGAATGCCGAGCCTGCCAGCCAGCCACCATTCTCCCCCAAAACAGGCCCACAACAGAGCATGTGCGGGTAGAGATGGTGATGTACGAAAATAAAGCGACACAGTATCTGCACATGGCGTGGGCTAACAGATGCAGGTGTTTGACAGGACAGTCTTGGTTCTGAGGTGTTAAAGTTGTTCCCCTAAGCTCTCCTGGGAGGAACAGGGAATGCTATCTGTAGTGCTTCCCACACCGAATCCTTCAGGAGCGGGAAATCAATAGCTTCCTAGGAAAAGATTTCCTCATTTGGCAAATCTCCTTCTTACTAAGGTACAGAAAGTACGATTACTTGATCATGCCCATCTATGATGTGGATCCAAGTGAGATTTCACATTTCTTCTTAAGACAACTCATTCAATTCTAGGGCTTTCACTTTTCGACCTCACTGCCTCACTGCCATTTAGAGCCTGAAGCTCTAAAACTTGGTCCTGCAAAGGTGACTCCAGAACCTGCCCTATTGTTTGAGCAAGCAGGGAGCCCAGTGTAAATAAAGGACAGGCTGGAAGAGGAGAGTAGAAAAGGGAAGGGGCGGTAGGGGAAGGGGAGGGCACAGGAGAAGCAGGGAAGGAGAAGAGGTGGACACTCCCTTGTCTCCACTTCCACTATCGTACTTTACCTTACCCCATGCGTTTCTGAGATGCTAATTAAAAGAGGTTTCCCAGAGGGGCTGAGTGCCAGATCAGGACCAGCACAGTTCAACCAGCTTGAGTCAAGTTACTCTGCAAAGAGGCCATTGCTTCTCCTCAGGGGAATGGTTCTGAGTTTAGGCCCAAGTTGTCTCTGCTGGCTTCTGCTTGTCTCTTCATTCAGAAGGCAAATGCTGTTGATGCCCTGGGAGAGGAGGAGGGCCTGGATTTATTTTGGAACCAGACCCCGAGACTGTGGATAAAGCTGAGATGCTGGGGTTCCTGAGGAAGACGAGGAGGATCCTGACTTCCTTCCACTTTTAGGCCTGCAAAAGTCAAACACATGTCTACATTACACCTATTCATCTTTGTGCCTGACCCAAGTCAGATTCTTATTCCACTGAGGGCCTTTAACCCTTCAAGGTGGCCTTTCCAGTATACTTTCAACTGTAAAAGCCTCAGCTCTGCCTGCCAACAGGTGTGGGGAACTTCAGGACAAGACTGCTGAAGCTCACTCTTGTTCTTCTGCTAAAATCTAATCTTGACACTGGTTAGGGTAAGGGGATCATGTTTGTAGGTACAATTCCTTCCATTTTTGGTTTTCTACTTGGTTGCATTTTTTAGAATTTAATTTTTTTTAAAAAAAAATACTACTTTTTGGTGGGTTTTTTTTTCATTCACATTGTTTCTTACGATCATTCCCATACACTGTCTTATAAAATTAATCACCATTGATCTATGCCCAATATTAATTACACTGTCTTTTCAAATTCCCACTGAATCTTTCCTAATTCCTCCACTCACCAGAGTCTGAGACCCTGTCTTTTCTCCCCTTTGCCTTCTTCAGCCCCCCACCCTGCTCCCTTTCCCTCTTTGGATAACCATACACATCTTCCTGGTTATCGCTGTTTTTACAATAATGGTCTTATTCGGTATTTGTCCTTATACACCTGAGTTAATTCACTTTGATGACTTTTTAAAAAAATCTTTGCTAATGTAGCATTTTTTAAAAAAAGAAAAAAATATCTTTGTCTAAAGATGGCATTTCTGAGTACTGAATTAAATATTTGATTATTCCAATGAGTGAAGTAAATTCAGCATTAACGTTCAGAAACTGTAGATTTCGTCAAATCCACGTTTGGATTCTGGCCCCGCCAGCTTACTAGCTGCATTTCCTTGGATCAGCTAATTTCTGGAGTTCTCTTGGTTTTCTCATCTGAAAATGAGATTGATGATCTTTTTTACCAGATAAGCTTTTGCAAGAAATCATTATGAGAGTTTTTCTTCTAAAGCACTCAGAACTTCCTGAGACTTGGTGGGCAGGCACCCAGAATCCACCAGACCACACACTCTTCACAGACAAGGTAAGTGTTTTAGGTGTTGAGGTGTTCAATATAGCTGCCTTAGTGCCTGGGCCATAAAAACTTTTGGAAGAAATGACTAAACACTGGAGCAATATGGCAACACCTTCTTGAATGTTCTGCAAAGTGTCTCATGCTAAACAAGCACTCCTGGCCCTCTCTACTTTGTTTTGTCCTTGATCAAACATGTCTTGTTCAAACATGGGTCATCAAAAGCTACTCACCTGGCCCTGGATTTCTTATTTGCCGTGCTTTCAAAGGATGACGCGTCCACCTGGATCTCATCTTCGTCCTGCAGAGCTGCATCCAATGCAGCCTGAACTTTGGGGGCAATGGCCGGGCCCTCGTAATCTCTGGTGGTCCGGCTGGGCATGTCCAACTCTAGTAACACGATGTTTTCTGCCTGCAGAAGCAAAGCCATTAAGATCTGGACTGGCCCCCAGACACAGACACAAGTAACCCATGCCTTCTCCAAGAACAAAACTGCCACCTGGTTGCTATTCAGAGTCTACCAAAAGCCTGTTGAGAAGAAAGGATGTAGTTCTACAATATTTTGTCCAGCAACTTAGAGGATTTTTCTTTTCCCTATGTTTTTCTGTATTTTCCCTTTTTTAAAAAAACAAAACAAAACAATGTTGTTACATGCTGTCGAGTCGCCTGCGACTCCTAGGGACCCTAGCCCTAAACAATATACAAACAGTACAATAGCCCTAAACCCTGTTCCATCCTGAGCCAATCTTATTGTCTCTGATACATCTACCCCCCCCCCATTACCCTAGTCACTGAATCAAGCCATTTCATTGAGGGTCTTCCTCTCCTGTGCTGTCTCTCCACCCTCCCAAGCACGACAGCCCTTTCCAAGGACTGATCCCACCTTGCAACTTGTTGGACAAAACAATGAGCATGAATTATTATTATATAGAAAGGGACATAATCAGAGAGGAATGATAAATGACATAAAACTCATTTGTTGCAGACAACATGAAAATAAATACAGAAAAGTATGAAGAAGCAGCACCAATCATTTCAACACCGAGAGTGGCTCCACTGAACATTGGGCTGCAGTGGGGAAAGGGCCAGATCTACTCTATGTACGTGGAGGGTGCACATGGCAATATTTGGGCTCTGTAACCACGTTCTGAAAACAGGAATGGGCTCCACGTCATAAGAGATGTGGTAGGTTGATTCCTCTATGTTGTCTCTTCCACGTGGGAGCCTTCTCCTACCTCCCATGTACCAAGGTAACGGTGTAGAGGGAAGAAGCCCATGGTCACCATGGTCATCTTCTTTTCTAATTCTTTCTAGTCAGTGGAGTTAAGAAACTCAGGGCTCCAGAGAGAGCAGAGCAGGAAAGAGGGAGGGAGGACAAGCAGCTCCATTAGGTCCACTGCTGAAAACATCTGAGAACCACTGCTTTAAATTCTACCTTTGGGTCAGATTCTAAAACCAAAAACTAAGCTATTGCCATCAGGTTGACTTCAACTCTTAGCAAACGTGCAGGTTCACAGTTTGTCTCATACGGTTTCTAACCCTGTAAACTTAATGGAAGTAGACTAGCAACATTCTTCCTCTGAGGCGCAGCTGGTAGGTTCACACTATTGACCTTTTGTTTAGCAGCCAAGGGCATAACTACCATGCCATCAAGGTTTTAGCACCCTGGAAACCCACATATTTGATCTGTGGCTCTTAAAACCATGTTCTGGCTTAAGATTTTTTTTTTAAATGTGAAATACATATTTATTTTAAATGTTAGGAAAATGTTATCTAGGTTTCTGCTACAGCACTCAATTCCCTGCATAAACCCCACCTAATAAACCTGACTGTGGCTTTCTTAATTTTAAATAATTTAACAACAGAAAGAGCAGCACCTGAAGAGTTAACTAATCCTGTTTTCTGTTTGTTTGTTTGTTTTTAATTATTCTGGCTGCCAAGGAAGATTGAAAAATATTAAAAGAATTGTAAGTGAAAATCTTTCCTTTGAAAAAGTTTCCTGATGGTAGTTCTAAAATGTAAATAAGCAAAAAGAAGAAAATGTAAAGTTAAGTGTACCTCTACCAATCAGAGCTAATCAGTTCACATTTTAATATACTGTGGACTCGGATTTTTAAATTCATATATATATACATTGGGTACAAATGGCTTTTTTTTTCTTCTCACTGAACAATATATTGTGTCTTCTGGACCCTCCAGGGAGCTCTGGTGTTGCAATTTATAGGGAACTGTGCTGTCAAACTGAAAGCAGTGCTGAACACCAAAGTGGCTCCAAAGAAGAAAGATAGACGATATATTCCCTTGCAATTTACAGCCTCTTGAAAACCTGAAAGAGGGTCAGCTATGAGTCGGTTCCAAATGGACAGTAATGGGTATGGATCCTCCAATTATCAGCTCCTTGTTCTTTAAGAACAGAAAAGGCTACAAACACTAAATATCCACTGTCACTGAGTTAGTCCCAACTCACAGATCCTCCCTCAGATTTCCAAGGCTGTAAATCTTTACAGGAGAGTGCTCATCTTTCACCTGTGGTTCACCTTTCATTAGCAGCTGACAGTTGATGCACTATGCTACAAGGAATCCTTAGAGACAAGGCAAGAGAGCTAAGTGAGAGAAAGCCATAAAGTGCTAAACACAGCGCCCAGTACGTAGTGTTTATAAAGGAAGATCTCATAGCATTTTTATTATAAATATTTGGGTGTCATTAAGAGTCTAAGTGTTACTTTAGAACAGCTACACAGTCTGATGCTGGTTCTGTAAAGTCTGTATAGCCACTGCAACAGAATTCAAACCCAGTAGTGCAGTTAAGACTGGTGCTGGAATTAGGAGAAGTAGGTACAGAAACATGGGGCATGATGTCTGACCTTATAGGGATTAGTGTTGTGCTATGGATGTTGTTGATGGGGAAAGGTTCCTTCTATGGTGTTAGCAGAGATCAGGATTAGCCATCTCCATGTCACCTATATTCTTTTTTTCGCACAGTAGAAGTGCTCTGTAGGTAATTCAAAATTATGGTCCTAATTATGAAATGGAGAAATGATGAAAGTTATACAAGTGTTCAGGTCTTTCGTTCAAAGAGTCACTATGAAGTCGCCTATGATTCGACGGCACTTAACCACAATAACCACCACAATAACAACAACAACGACGACGACGACGAGAGAGCTCTGTTGGCCTAGTGGATAGAAAGTTATGCTACCAAGTCAAAGGTGGGTGATTTTAATCTGTGGCCCTCAGGGCTGGTTTTAACTGTTTTTGGTCATTCTTCTAAATGGTATAGCACTGGTCTGTCCATTTGCTGTACAGAGGTAACTCACGGCTGCTGTGATGCTAAATACTGTGACATTGATGTGTTAAATGTGATAACGGTTACCAATGGTGGACAGTGTTTGGTGAAGCTCCCTGATTAAAACAAGCTTGGAAGCAGGAGTGACATCCACTTCTGAAATAGCTTGCCTCTGGAAACTATGAATGTGGAGTAATGATGCAAGTTACACAAGTATGCATGTCTCTCTTTCATAGGGTTGGTATGAGTCATCTATGACTCGACAGCACTTAACGACAACAATACAATTTCAAAATTATGACCTTTCAGAAAAAGGTGGGTTCAAATGGACAACTTTTAATCAGTAGTTGAGTGCTTAACTAGATATCCATGTTCTCTGCAGTATCCCTTTACTAGATAGATCTCCATATCTCTCCAGTTACTTTGCTATTACTAGATCTCCATGTCTCTCCAGTCTTCTTACAGAGTCATTCTGAAGCTTTCAATCGAGATTTACTGGCTATTATGGGTAGAGCTGGCTCTGGTGGTACAACTCACAGTGAGTTGTGCTGCTGACCTAAATGTAGCCTCTCTGATAATCTGAATCCAACAGGAACTCTGTGGAAGAAAGATGGGCAATCTCTTCCCATGGGAGTTACTGCCTCTGAAAACTTGCTAGAGGGTCAGCCATGAGTCAGTTCCAACTTGACGGCAATGAGTTGTTGGGTTTGTTGTTTGTTTGTTTTTTTAAAATTGTGGGTAGTATGTTTTGACTTTCCTCTTTCCCTCATCTTGATTTTCTAAATCTCATTCTAGTTCATCTTTTAATGTTTCCAATACAATCATACTTAACTAACTTTAGAAAGAGTTAAGGAACAAACCACACACTGTGACTTTGCAAACAGTGCTAAAGGATTTACATAACTCTGAACTTCTTCAAAAGAGAGAAGAGAAAAACCCAAGAACAACCTTCTCACCCTGTATCGGGCCTCAGGGCGAATCATCATGGACATTCTTGCGTGCTGGCTCAGTGGCCTCTTGTACCCCACAGCTGAGACTGGCCGTTTCATCATCTGTTGATTCCTGAAAATGGACTGCAGTGGTTAAAGCCCTGGCTGGAATGTAGTCCACAGTCCCAGCATCGGTCCTCTTGAGCTAGCTTTGGGAAGATTCCGAGCCTGCTTCAGACAGAGCCAAAAGCAAGTAACTCCCTGGACTTAGGGCTGAGACATACATAGGACAAGAACTGTTTGTTTATATTTACTAACTGAATGGCTTTCTGATTCAAATGTAAGCATCATGCAACTTTTAAACTAGAAGGGAGCTGAGACAGCAGTCAGTAATACATAGCTGTCAATACCCCTCACTCCTGCATCTTTAGCAGACATCTCCTAGCACGCCCTGAGAATTTTTCCATCACTGTGTCAGACTAGAATCGACAAACAAGATGACATCAATGTACTGTGTCCCTCATGTGGCCTAGAAGCCTTCAGCTGGGGAGGGTGAAATGCAGGAATTTGGGAAATGTCATCAGTTCATCAGTAACAAAGTTTCCAATTCTTAATACCACTTCAACATTAGACTTTTAGCTCATGGGCAGCCTGTGGCAGCCACAGAGCTCAGAAGTGCAGCTGGTTCCACATTTATATAAGTCGCTATGCTATGCTATGCTATGCTATGCTATGCTATGCTATGCTATGCTATGCTATGCTATTACCAAACCTCTTTGGTCAAGTTCAGCTTATCAACAATCTTTCATTCTTCCTGAGTGACCCCCTGCATGCCCTCCTCCCTCAGCCTTTCTGTTTGAAGTCAATAATGACTTACTCCAGTCTGGTTATAGGATGTAATTTCCAATGATCTTCCTCTTCATCAAAGAAGGATCTATTCATAATTTTACTTTTTTCTTCCAGAGGGATAAAGTTTTCAATAATAAGATGCCTGTAAGAACACACATACACATGTCTGAATACAGATGGGAAAACAAAGTTCATTAAGTTAGTGTTGGCTATCTGAGTCCATGAATAGTGACTCAAAGATCCGTGAAGTCACCCAGCAAACATGTACTGCAGTTACCATGGGCTTCCAGGAAGTGCTAGTGGCTTAATGGTAAGGAATTGCACTGCCAACTCAAAAGGTATGCTGTTCAAATCCACCAGCTGCTTTTTGGGAGAAAGATGGGAATTCTCCTTCGAGAAATTAACTGCCTCAGAAAACCCGCTGGCAAGTCAATATTGGTCAGTTCTGACTTGATGGTACACAACAAAATCATTATCAGGAGCTGGGATTCAGACATGTGTGAAACCCTGTCCCTGTATGAGGTATGAGGGGCTGACAGTCCTGGGACTATGAGAGTTGCAGTTTGAAGATGTTACAGCACTGAGGAAAGGGTGATGCCAGACCTACACACCTGCTCATACCATCAGTATCTTTCAGGGTGCCACTGGGATTGCTAATGAAGGCTATTAATTTTGCAAATACTGAAAACAAGTTAGAAATTAAACTGCTCTCCTCCAACTCCATGGATTGATACCCAAATTGGAAAAATTCAATTCCTAACCTGCCAGGACAAAAAAGCAGGGCCCAATAGCTGCCAGTCCTTTAAACACTGGGGACAGAGAAGACTCTGGGGAAAAGTCTGCCTAGTAAGCAAGCAGGGAACACAGCAAACAATGACCCTGGAACCCACAGGGTTTCGTGTCTCCATGGTGACTTCACTCTTTCAAAACCTCAGGCCAGAACAATGCCAAAGGAGTGTCAGCGTGGGAAAGATACACAACAAATACCACAGAGGTGCAGGGTACTATAAGGAACAGGTTGGCTCACTGTTTATTAAAAAGATCTAACAATAAAAATGACTTTCTTAGGGAAAGACACTTTTGGGAGATTAAATGTTCTCTTTATTTTGTGATGTTTAAGAACTTCTCTCTTTTGTATACATATATAGTTATTTCTATTCTTTTTCTCGTTACCAAGGGCCTTCTTTACTTAATTTAGAAAATGTGCAAAATATAATTATCAATAGTTTCATTATCTGGAGACAACTACTATTCTTTTTTTTTTTTTAAGAATCTGTTCTATTGTTTTGCATATAATAATTTGTTTATATTGTATTTCATTCATATACATGGTTTTGGGGTTTTATCCCTCCTTCCTTCACCCACCAAATTACAACTCTGTGATTTCAGCCTCTCCCTATCTTCAGCCCTTTACCTGCCTCCCCTTCCCTCTTTGGCTATCCATACATATCTTACTGATTATCCTTTTGTTTTTACAATAATGATCTCACATAGTATTTGTTCTTATGCCCCTGAGGTAGTTCATGAAACATAATGTTCTCTAGCCTCTCCCATGCTACTGTTGCTCCTGAGTGCTGCATAATATTCCACCACATGAATGTACCACAATTTCTCCATCCAGTTGTTTGTTGATGGGCAACTGGAATGTTACCAAGCTCTTGCTATTGTGAATAATGCTGCTATGAACATTGGTGTACAAATCTCCATTTGTATCTCACTCTGTTATTCTTGGTGTTTATGTCTAGCTGTGGAATAGCTGGGTTACTATTCTCTTCTGATCATTTTCTCACTGTGCACATTAAGGAACAGGACTTACCCATACATTTCATTTTATGGGTCCTTTTCCAAATTCAAAATTTGGTCATTAAGATATTCCTTTTAAAAGTTATTCTTTAAAGAAAAATCTGTAAAAAATAAGAATAGCCAAAGGACTGGTATAGAAAAATATTGTGCAACCCTAAAGCGATTATGGAGTCAGACAAAGACCATTGTTTGCTGAAACCATTAGCTCAGTGGACCTATAGTCAGGCTACACTGCAGTATCACCTTCAGAATGTTGAAAAATATCTTACACAGATCTCTGGTTAGTGATATCAATTAGCCTCAAAATGTGTTCAGTGAGCCTTCAGTAGCAAGACCTGGAAGCTGTTAAAAATGTAAATTCTTAGGCCCCATCCCAGGCCTGCTGAGCCAGACGCTTTGGGGGTAGTCCCAGGAATTTGTGTTTAAACAGTCCTTCAGGCAATAATGATGCCTGAAAAAGTCAGAACACCACTGCTCTAGAATAATTAAATCAATCTGTGGGACACAGCCAAGGCATCACTATTTTGAAAAGCTCACCAGGTGATTTCAATGCATCCAACATTGAGAACTCAGAGATAGTTTCCAGCAGAAGGGAAATAAGGAGGATAGAGCCACAGATTAAAGGACAACATGAGGAGGCCAATTCACCAATCCAGAATTAGACTTTCCTATAGGCTGTCTAATGCCATTTATTCTATGTTGTTGTCATTATGTGCCATCAAGTCACTGTGACTCCCAGCAAGCCTATGTACATTAGTTCTGAATCTTGCTCTATCCTTTGCCAATCAAATTGTCTCTGACACACATACCTCCATTACCCTAATCACTGAGTCAATCCATCTCATCGAGGGGCTTCCTCTCTTGCAGCTGTCCCTATACCTCCCAAGCATGATGTCCCTTCTCCAAGGTCCCTCCTTGCAACATATCCAAACTATGTCAGACAAAGCTTCAGAATCCTTGCTTTGAAGGAGCAGCCTGATTTCACCCTCTCTAGAATGAACCTGTTTGTTCTCTAGCAGTCCATGGTCTATCCAATACTCTTTTCTAGCACCACAGCTCAAAGGCATCAATTCCCCTTCCAACATCCCTAATCATTGTCCAGCTTTCTAACACATAATAAGTAATTGTGAAGATCATGGCCTGGATCAGGTGCACATTTATAATAAAGTTTTAAACAGAGGTAAGAGATTCCTTTAAATTAAAATACGCTTAAGAAAGATAAGGTTATTTTTATTAAATACCATTTAATAGATTCTGACCCATTGCAACACCATGTGGCAGAAAGGAAAAACCCAAAGGCTTTTCGTGGCTATAAAGAAGAGATCACTAGGTTTTTCTCCAATGGAGCAATAAATAGGTTTGAACTGTCAACCATCAGAAAAGCAGCCAATAACGTAACCACTGTGCCAAGACAGCTTCTTAAGAAACACAATAATTGGCAGGCTCTGGTGGCCTATTGACAAGAAGCTGCACTGCTGAGCAGTTCGAATCCACCAGATGCTCTGCTGGAGAAGGGACAATCTCCTCCTGTTTCCGTCAGATCTGACTTGACAGCACACACACAAAAGTAGTAAGAATAGAATTTTTAAAAAATGAAAAAACTACAAACAAACAAACAAAAAAACCAACCACAATAATTAGCCGTGATGTGTTGTTGGTCCTAACTTAGATTCAAACACAAACCAAGAAAATCTAAATAAGTACTAAATAATAGACAATAATAAGAATGTTAATTTTGTTGAATATAAAAATAAAGCATTGTAAAAAAAAAATAAAGCATTGTGTATCCAAAACCAATGTTTATATACTAACAGTAAATATTCCAAAGACAAAATTGAGAACAGAATTCCTTTTACAACAATAGGAAAAGATTGTTAGCCATAAATTTAACACAAATTATGAAACATAATGAATAACAACATGATGAAACTTACATTAAAAAACAAGACTTCAATAAGTGAAAAGATATTCCATATTCATGAATCATGAAACTTAACATTCAGGAGCTCTGGTCATGTAGTGGTATAAAGCTGTGCTGCAATCTCAAAGGCACACGGTTTGAATCCACCAGATGCTCTGTGGGAGGGGATGGGCAATCTCTTCCTGTGTGATTTATTGCCTCTGAAAACACACTGGAGGGTCAAGCTATGAATTGGTTCTGACTTGACCACACAACAATCGCTTCAAAGAGCAGAGAACTGTCTAACAAATAACTGCATAGTGGAATGACAGATTAAATTTAAAGAAAAAAAAGGGGGGGAAATCCCAAAACAACTTAACGTTCATGGTTTAGACAACCCAAACCAAATTGAACCTACTGCTGTAGATTCCAATGTATAATGATCCTATATGACAAGGAGAATTGCCCCAAAGAGTTTTTGTCAATCTTTACAGAAGGAGACGACCATATCTTTCTCCCATAGAGTAACTGATGGGACTGAATCTCCAACCTGTAGCTGCTGAGTGCTTTAACCACCATGCCACTAGATGGCCTTTTAAAGATGACAATCGTCCCCAAATTGTTCTACAGATTCACAATAATCCCCTAAATATCCCAGGTGGCTTTCTTTTCTTTTTTCTTTTTTGCCCATCAACAAACGAATGGATAGAGAACCTCTGGTATATTCACACAATGGAATACTATGCAGCATTGAAAAACAAGGAACTCATGAAATATTATGTAAAATGGATGACCCTGGAGGACATTATGCTGAGTGAAATATCTCAGTCACAAAAAGGGCAAATATTGCATAGGGCCACTGTTGTAAAATGGGACAGACATCAGGGTTGAGGGAAGACAGAAAAGGAAGGGAGGAATGATCTATATTGCATTGAAATGGATGAGGGAGAGAACTGTTTAAAAAGGGGTATTCTTGTCATTATAGAAGTCCAGAGTGAAGGCTGCACAGTGAAGTAGACTTGTGGGGAAGGATTGCATAACAATTAAAGAGTTTTTCTTTCTTCTCAAGGAGAAGAGTGAATTGGGGGGGGGGGGGTTAGGGAGAACACTGCAACAATGAATGACTGGAAACTCTCTCTGTAAACTTTCATTAAAATTAATTGTAAAAATAAATTAATTTTTTTTTTTTTAATTTACACAGAAATGCAAGCCAAAAAATGAGAACCCACTGCTACGGAGTTGATTCTTCAGGGAGGACAGCAACCCTCAGGTGGGTTTCTGAGCCTCTATTCTTTACAGTAGGGGACTGTTCATCTTCTTTCCACAGAGCTTCTGGTAGAAGCGAACCACCAACCTTTCAGCTAGCAGCCTGACACACAATACACTACACTACTGGTGCTAAGGAAATGCAAGGGATTTCAAATAGTTAAGCTAAGCCTGCAGAGAACGACAAAGCTGGATTCTAAATTCTAAAACTTACTACAAAGCTGGAAAGTCATGTGGTTAGAATGAAAAAAGTCTGGAGCGTCTAAACCCTCTTACATTTATGGTCAATTCATGGTCAACACAAATGTTGAGATAATGAAATGGGGAAAGAATAACCTTTTCAACAAATAGTGTTGGTCAAACTGGATGTCCACATGCACAAAGGATGAAACTGAAACAACTTCTTCATGTAATACACTCAGTTCATGTAATATACTCAGTATAATAACTCAAAATGGATCACAGACCTAAATGTAACACCTAAAACTGTAAAAACTTGAAGACTCAAAGGAATAGTCTCAAAGAAATAAAACCATATGCTCATAAAAAGCTTGTATACATAATTAAAAAAGCTTTTCTACAAATGTTCACAGCAGCACGATTCACAATAGCCCCAAAGAAAAAACAGCTCAAATGTCCATCAACTGATGAATGGATAAATAAAATGTGGTCTATTTTATTATATTCATACAACAGAAGGTTATTTAGTCATAAAAAGCAATGAAGTACTCATATATTCTATGAGTGATCTTTGACTATATTTATGCTAAGTGTAAGAAGCTAATCATAAAAAAGACTGCATACTGTAGGATTCCATTATATGAAATATCCAGAATAAGCAAATTCATAGAGTCTCAGAGTTGAATAGGAGTTGTTGAGGGCTGAGGAATGAAAAAATGAAGAATCAGTGCTAAACTGGTATAGGGTTTCTTTTAGGAAGGTAAGGATGTCCTAAAATTAGATAATGGCAAAAGCTGCCAGCGAGCATGTTAAAAAAAAACACTGAACTATGCATTTTAAATAGGTGAACTGTATGCATGTAAGTTACATCTCAACAAAACTTTTAAAAAACCAGCACATGGAGGGAGCTCTGGTGGCCTAGTAGTAAGAAACTGCACTGAAATCCCTAAGGCACATGGTTTGAATCCACCAGATGCTCTGCTGGAGCAGGGATAATCTCCTCCTGTGCCAGTTGGATCAATTCAACAGTACACAAAAACAACAACAACAAACCAAAACACTTTAAAAAAACCCAGCACATGGTCACATAATCACTAAGTAACCTAGACAAGACCATGTGCATGGAGGGTGGTGTGGCAGGATGCACTACAGAGTCTTCAGAGGGTGATAACATGAGGTAAGATTTGCTTTAAAATATTTGTGTAAAAAATGAGTGACAAAAACGCATTAATTATTAAAAAGTCTGAGTAATAGGTATTTGCACATTCACTATGTATTTACATGCTAAAAAAATTGCATCATAAAAAGTTCATGCTGAAAATAAGGATAACCTCTTGTCAATAAATAGCAAAGGCTCTGGCTTCTGGAGAAGCATAATTCAGGGGCAACAATTCTTTTACTGTAAACCTTAGTCATTGCCCAAATTTAAGAAGCAACTAAAAAGACTATGGCTTGTCAGGGACAGTTTAGTCATGATTACTTTCCCCTTGATTTACATAAAATCATTCATATATGTATTGTGTTTTTTCATGTATATTGTTTTATACACAATCATTCATGTACATTGTGTTTCATTCATATACATTATGGTTTATGAAATGAATATTGACAAAAAAGAACAAAAACCGTTGAGACAATGGACAAAATATAAGCTGAGTCTATGTAAAAAAAAACCCAAAACTTGGAGAAGCAAAATAACTATGAGATATCATCTCACCCCAGTCAGAATTGCAAAATTTAACAGAACAGCAAATATCAAATGCTGGTGAGGTTGTGGAGAAACTGGAACCCTTATTCACAGTTGGTGGGAGTGTAAAATGGTGCAACCACTGTGGAAGGCAGTATGGCACTTTCTCAAAAAGTTGCAAATAGAGATACCATTTGACCCAGCAATTCCACTACTGGGAATATATCCCAAAGAGACCATAACTGACATCCAAGCAGATATATGCACACCCATGTTTACTGCAGCTTTGTTCACACAATGGAATACTATGCTGCATTGAAAAACAAGGAACTCATGCAATATTATTCAAAATGGGTGACCCTGGAGGACATTATGCTGAGTGAAATATTTCAGTCGCAAAAGGACAAATATTGCATGGTGCCACTGTTGTAAAGTGGGACTGATATCAGGGTTGGGGTAAGACTGAGAAAAACTGGATAAATTGTGTATACTGCACTGAAACAGATGAGGGAGTTAATAATTTAAAAGCGATGTATGATAGGGTATTATGGTTATCACAAGAGTCCACAATTAAGGTTGCATAGTGGAATGTACTTGGGGCGGCGGGAGGGGTGTGGGGGGATTGTGTCCCAGGGAGGGAGTGTTTCTTTTACTTTTGAAAGAGAAGAGCGAACTGGGGGTGGGGGGAAGGGCTGCGCGGGGAGAGAAGTGCAGCAATGAAGGAATGGAAATCCAAAATCTCTGTAAATGCTCATTAAAATTATTAAAAAAAACTTGGAGAAGGTGAGGTGGAAGCAAGGATGGAAAACATGCAGTCAAGCTCTTTAGGTAAAAGACGGAACCTTAGAAGGAAAGTGACTTTTTTCAGGAATAGAGAGAAGGAGGACATGGTGGCAGGAAGTATTAGAGGGAGACAGGGCTCTGTCCTCAAGGGTATTTTCCACTTAACAAAAACCACACCCCAGCCTGGCACTTACTTAAGCTTCAGCTCCCGGGTAAGCTCATTCTGGGTCTGCTCCAGCTCTTGGCGCTCCTTGATGTGTTCTTCTTGGAGGTCGTGGATTTCAGCCTTAACTGCCTGCAGCTTGGAAAAGAGCTAGGTCCAAGGGGAAAGGCAGATAAGGTGGGTGTACATCGAGAGAACAGAGTTCTCCCTCCCCTCAAAACCTCAAAGCAGGCTCTCATTCCTTTCATACCTTTTTGAGTTTTTTGGTCTTGATGTCCACCTCTTGCTGCAATGAGCTGTATGTCTCTTTAAGTTCCAAGGTCTCCTCATCTCGACTCTCCATCTGTTGCTGGATTTCTCGTTCTCGACGTTTCTGAGCAACATCACAAAATACGTTAGTTTGGCCTGGAGAACAAGATCTATACAAAGATGAAGACTCCTGCTCCAGGTCAGAGTCTCAGTTTTGAAGAATGGCTAACATAAGGGATATTTTCTCTGTAGAATTAACTACTTCCTTCTATCTCCTGAAACAATGAAAAGTTACCTGTTCTGCAATTTCTTGCCGCTTCTGCTCCAGGATTTTTTGCTGCTCATTCGTGTGATCCACTATATTTTTCCCTCCAACAAGCAGTTTACTCTCCATGGCCTGCATGAAAAATAAAGAATTTATCTTGTGAATGGTCTCCCTCAGAACCTATTTCATGGGATGCCCCAGAAAGGTTAGCCAGACCTGAGCATATAATAGCTACGCTCAGCTTTTCTTGTCCTACTCTTCTCACCACCGGGGCTGGAGTAGCTTCACTGGGCACTTGATCTTGTTAACAAAGAAAATACACTTTCCTCGTGCATGCATGAATTTTAGCTCTTTGAAAAAAAGATTACATAGAAATTGTTGAATGGATATATGTTCTGTTGTGTATATTTCCAACCAGAACAGATATAAAATAAATATATTTTTAAAAGAGATAAAACACTGAGAGGTTTGTCTTGTGTTTTGTTTTTTTTAAATTAAATAGCAACCCTATTTTAAACATACACGTCTATTGTGTGCTAGGTACTTGGAATACAACTGTGAATACAAATCACAGGCCTTATAGTCCATTGACTTAAGAGTCTACTGAAGGGCAGAAATAAACAAACAGACTCTTAGCATATGGTGTTAGATGTCGTATGAGAAAGTACAGGCATAAGTCAGAGATGTGCAGATTTAGTTACAGATCACTGTTACAAAGCTAAGATTGTAATAAAGCATGTTACATTTTTCTTTTAATGTCTATGAGGCCTATGCTTATACTGGGTTACAGTCTGTTAACTATATAACAGCATCATGAAAAAGTCTGAAATACAGCAAAGATTATTACCAAAATGTGACAGAGACATGAAGTCAGTACATGCTGTTAGAAAAATGGTACTCAAAGACGTCCTTGATGCAGGGTTGTCACAAATCTTCAATCTGCAAGAAACACAGTGTGTGTGATGCCCAATAAAATGAGATGTGCCTGGGCAGGGCTCTCAATGGGAGATGCACGCTGGAGGAAGAGAATCCAGACGTTAAAGGGGAGTCAGGGAACAGGTCCTATCTGAAGGACATCTAGTCACAGAGTTGGAACAGAAACAGGAATTCCCGAAGGAATTTTTATTTATTTTTTTTAAGTGTGTAGAGTAAGAGACAGCAAAAACAAGTAAGGGTCAGTTAAAAAAATCTTAAAAGCCCTGTTGTTGTTGTTGTTGCTGAGTACCATGAATTGGGACTGACTCAGAGCTAGCCCTCCAGAAGGTTTTCAGAAACAGTAAATTGCATGGGAGTTGACTGCCCATCTTTCTCCCGTAGAGCTGCTGGTGGATTTGAACTGTAATTCCTTACCACTAGGCCACCAGCCCTGTTGGAGGAACTAAATTTCACCCTGCGTTCCAGAGCCCCAGTGATGTGTTCTTTAAGCACGTGGGCATGCAGTCAGATGTGTGTTACAGAAATATTACTCTGGTGCAGCTGTACAGCGAGAATAGCTGGGAGCGGTCAGGCTGATGACGGCAGACCAAACAGAAGGCTGTGTGAGAGTCCAGGGCTGGCTCGGGTAGGGAGGAGAAAGCTAAGTAAACAAGTCCAAGAGATCAATGTGAGGCAGGATTCAGAGGCTGGTATAGATTGAATAGTGTGTCCTCAAAACATGTGAGCTGTAAATAATAAGCTGCAAAAATCGTGGGTATAATCACACTTAGAAATAGGGTTTTCTCCATCATGTTAAGGGAGCTCTGGTGGCTTAATGGTAAGGATCTGAGCTGTCAAGCCAAAGGCACGCAGTATGAATCCACTGGCTGTTGAGGTCATTATCAGTGTTGGTGTGTTTCATATCAATCAATTCTGAAGTATTAAGGAATAGAAGAGGCACAGAAAAGGAGTCCTGGCAATGCAAGATTAAGCCCTTAAAGCTGATGGAAAGGTCAGTGGTTCCAACCCACTCAGCAGCTCCTTTGGCCAAAGGCTGGACAATTTGCTCCCATCCTGATTCCAACAGAGAAAATCTTTGTTATAGAGGCAGTTATACTCTACCCCCTGGGTTGCAGTGGCTCCAAACTGACCCAACCTAACAACAGCCACCTAATCTCACAACAGGCCCAAAGGCAAGGAAGCAGGTAGTGGAAGCAAAATGTCACACCACACAAAGACTGCCAAGGAACCCAGGAACAGAGAATGGAAACAAAGACTTTCTCCCAGAGCCAACAAACAAAAGGAGTCTCCCCTAAATCCAGTGTCCTGAATTTTGACTTCTAGCCTCCTAAAGTGTAAGAAAAAGAAACTCCTGTTTTCTAAAGACACCCACTTGCAGTATTTCTGTTACAGTACTAAGAAACAGAGCTCTTGGGGATTTACTGGGCCAGAGGGAGGCATAGAGGCAGCTGCAATGAGAATTTCTAGGGTTCTGGCTTCCCTAATTTCCTTAATTACAGGAACAGGCAGGGTGTCTATAGGTAGAGGGTTATGGGGTCTGGATATTAGGAATCCGCTCTGGACAAGACTGGATTGAGACCTTTTGGTGGCTGAGGTCACAGAAATGATTTTCAAAATACAGAATGCAAAACCTCTATCACCCTGCCTTTAAGAAATACACAAGCACTAACCACAGCCCTACTGCCATCTTCCGGTGAACCCTTTCAACCTATTTCCTTTTCTCCCCAAACAAACTGGATGAAGTTACTAAGCTTTCTCCTCCTTCCAACTTCAGAATGCTTTTGTTTTATGATTTTACAGCATTCAAGGACTGAGGAGGACCTTCTGTATTTAGAGAATAATCTCACAGACATAACAGGTAAGAAGTCAGTGACTGAGGTCAATGCTGAGTTTTGCCAACCACTGAAAGTTCTCAAAATACTCCAGGTTGTTTAGAGTCTATAGGTGTTCCTGGCTTTAGATGTCAGATGGGATCCTAAATGGTGTGCAAACCAAATATTGGTGCCCTCAAGTTACACTTCATATGCTATTGTTGGGGGGAGGGGTGGTAAAAAGCATTTGATGTAATGCAATTCCACCATATCATTAGCCCTTTCCTGGAAGAAAGTTACATCCTATTTGTGTTGTATGTAGCTTGATTTTCACATGAGGTCTAGAGGTGATTCTTAAGGCTTTAAGGATTATGTCTTGCAATTGAAACAGTACTCTGTGAATGGGCTACTTCAAGGCCACCAAGGATATACACAGCCTACAGCTTCAAGGACAAGAGGGAGGGGAGTCAAGAAGGAGATTCTTGTCATTTAACAGACACAGATCACACAACAGAAGGAACTTTGCATAAACCCAGAAAGACAGAACCCAAGACTTCTAAGGAATTCTGAGTTCGGATCAGCTAGTGGATAAAGCATCATCCTCAGAACTCTGGGTCACCTTTTCATCCGCGTTTGTCATTAAACCCCTTTAAGAACCAAAATCTAGTAACCGTACTACCCTATTGCCTGAAGTAAGATCCAAAACAATAACAGGCTCCACATTCTAGAATGCTGGTCAGCCATGGGGAGAACTGAGGCAGATATAATGAAATACACTGGCATAGAGGGCTATGTTGGCAGGCTGGTTATAAAGGAACAGTGCGTGGACATCATAAGCATGTTTTCTGAGGTGACAGAACTGTTCTGCATCTGGTGTAATTAGGGTACCACACAGTCCACCAGCTACACAAAATTTAACACCAGATCTTCACAAATATTGGCAAGCCTAAGATGAAGACTCACACTCTGCTGGCATAAGCTTTAACTACAGAGCTGCTTTACCTCATCATTATCCTGTAATTATCTAGTAAAGCTGGAGATGCACATCTCTAGGACTGAACAAAGCCAGACAAGAAACACACACAAACATATCCTCTGGAGTCAAGTACATGAACACACACAGCCCAAAATGCAAGCAACTCAAGCTACCGGGAGAAAGGAACACCTCAGGCCATTTAGAATAGCAATAATTAATAAACCATAGCTCCAGACAACAATATGGAGAAATCTCGTGAACTTAAAATCAAAGCAAATTTCAGCCATGGGATTCCATTTACATAAAGGTAAGAGATGATGTGAAATAATCTTTTCTTTAGAGATAGATATATGGTAAAAGCGTGAAAAAAAAGGCAAGGAAACCATCAACATCAGATTTAGGATAATGGTTACGTCTGTGGGAAAGGGACACGATAAACTTCAGGTGTAAGAGCTGAGCCATTTTTTACACTGGGTGGGCAGTACATAGGTGCTGGGTTTATTGCTGTTCTTTGTACAAATTCTCTCTTTCATTGTTGTCAAATCACAATGGACTCATAGCTCACCCACAGTGGGTTTTCAAAAGCCATAAATCACATGGAGGGGCATAGATCACACAGGGAGCAGCTGGTGGATTCAAACTGCCTGCCTTTGGGTTGGCAGTGCAGTTCCTTATCCAGTAGGCCACCAGAGCTCTCATTAATACATATGTAATACGTAATTCCTTTTATCAGGAACTCTTAATATTTCATTCTTAAAATTTAAATAGAAACACCCAGACATTTTCCTTTGCATTTAACAAGTGTTCACTGAGGTCTGGTCTCACAGGACTAACTCGTGAGGTGTAAAACAGATCACACACACACACACACACACACACACACACACACACACACAGTGGAGAGGTTGAAGGAAGGGGAACCCAGAGCGGGGAGGGCCTGCAGAGAGTACGGTACCTTGATTTTGGCACCCAGCATCTCAGCAGCAGCCTTCTCCCGCCGCAGATCTTCCATTTTCTTTTCCTTCTCCTTCAGCAGCCTCATCTTCTCCTCTGCAACCAAGCTGTGGTCCTCTACAATGGCTCGCTTCTCAATCTCCAGTTTTTCTTGCTGTTCCCGCCAATAATCATCTTTATCATCCCCTTCCTCTTCTCCCTCTTCTCCCTCCTCCTCCTCCTCTTCCCCGCCCCCGCCGCTGCCACCACCTTCCCTCCGTTTCTCCCGCCTCTTTCTTCTGCCAATGGATCGTTTTTCCAGCTGGGCCTTGAGCCGAGCAATTTCTTCTTGAAATTCTCGGAGGAGGGCATCCTTAGGGTCCTCGTTAACCCTTGGTTTGTTCTTAATGTTTTTGGCACGGTTGGCGTATCTCAGAGTGGTCAGGGTCTCCTCCACATTGTAAGAGGCAGGCCCCACATTGGCCACCATCACCGTTTTAGCGTTGCCCCCAAGGGAATCCTGGAGAAGCCGAGTGAGCTTCGAGTCCCGGTAAGGAATGTGAGTGCTTCTGCCGTCCACCAGGGCAGAGATGACATTGCCCAAGGCTGAGAGGGAGAGGTTGATCTTGGTGGCTTCTTTCAATCTTTCCCCTTGGGCACCAGTCTTGGCTTGCCGTTCACTGCCAGCGAGGTCTACGAGGTTCAACTTGCCCACACGGATGTGGTTTTCGCCATCGAGGCCCACCTCGCTGCACTCAATTGTGATGACGAAGATCGCATGGGAACGAGAGCTGTGCTCGTTCATGTTGGTAGCACCCACGGAGCGGTTCTGGTTGCCCACGTTCATGACATGCTCTATCTCCTTCACGCTCTTGGTGACAAAGGAAGACAGATCTTTCACATACACGCCAGTGTCCGGTCTCTCCTTGAGCTCAAGCCGCTTGGACTGGTCCTTTGAGAGGAGGTCTCGGATCTCCTCCTGGTAGATCTCTAAATAGGAGGCTCTGACGAGGTACTGTTGATTCTGGGATCGAGAAATGTGGGTGAAGATGTGGTCAAACGAGTTAGGGATGACCCCTCTTTTTTCAGGGTCACCACGAACACCTTCCATTGTGTAGGTTTTCCCAGTCCCAGTCTGTCCATAGGCAAAAATCGTCCCATTGAAACCTTGCAGAACGGAGTCCACAAGTGGTCGGAATGTCTCATCGTACAGTTCAAACTGCTTGGCGTTCCAATCATAGACTGCATCAAAGGTGAAGGTCTTGGGCATTTCATGGGCCACTCCTTTGGGGTTCTTCACAGACACCTGCCCCAGCTTCACATCCACATCTACCACCTTGTCGTAGGCAGCAGCTTTTTCCTTGCTGTTCATGGGCCGACAGCGAACCACCACCCTCACGGACTCCGAGCTTTTTAACTTTGACATGATGAGCTCCAAGCAGGTCAGCTGTGAAGGCTACGGATCCCAAATGTCTCACGAAGCTAAGGTCCTAGAAAAGAGCAGAAGGAAGTCAGCACAGCACAACTGTCATGAGGAGCTGCCTGACAGGTGCCGACACAGCCAGTTCAGCTTCACCTTTCCCCTCAACCTGCTGACAGCTAGGCCCAACAGCTTTACCACTCTGTGAATTTCCTGGTGAGGTGCTGACCACTTCTGGAAGAAAAAGAGAAACTTCAACAAAATGGAAGCTGCTCTTGCTCGTTAACTAGTACTTTTTCTTAAACCACTGGCCATCTTTTCTAAGTAAGACTGGTTATTTCATACTTCGACACGCACCTACCTTTTGGCCCAACAATTTTAAGACTTCACCCTACAGACAAATGTTCTAGATAAAACATACATGTACAAAAATCTTTGTTGTGACATTATCTGAGGTAACAATCGGAACAATGCCAATTCCCACTGAGAAGTGCCAGTTTAAACATATTCAATATAAATATACATTGAAAATATAGGCCATTTCAAAAAATAAAACTAAATATAATACTATACTAAGATATCCAGTTAAGTGGAAAAAGTAGGTGAGGAAGAATGTATAAAACGGATATATGGATTTCAAATGCTTGATAAGCATACAGTATTACTACAAGCATACATGTAAATGGGTTGGTGATAGTGGCTTTGTAAGGGGTACTACAGGCGTAGGGGACCCAGGATTAAGAGCATCGGGGTAGGAGGGGAGAGAGACTTACTTTTCACTATGTACTCATCTGATTTATACTGTTTTAATTTCACATTTTATGCTGACTGCAGAGACAGTGAGGTTGGCACAGGATACAGCAGAGTTTAGGGCTCTTGTACACAGGGTCGCTATGAGTTGCAAGCAACTTGATGGCACATAGCAGCAACAACAACAATCCTAAACCTACCACCAAAAAAGATGACAGAAAATGAACTGATGCCTTTGAGCTGTGGTGTTGGAGAAGAGCACTGAACATCCCATGGATGGCCAAAAGAACAGATATGTCTTAAGAGCACTGAACATCCCATGGACGGCCAAAAGAACAGATATGTCTTGGAGAGGGTGCAGCTGGAGTGCTCTCTGGCGGTAAGAAGGATGAGGCTTTGCCTCACATACTTTGGGTATGTTGCTAGGAGGAGAAGGTATGTTGCTTGGAGAAGGACATGATGCTGGGTGGAGGATTGGTGAAGAAGAGGAAGACCCTCAATTAGGTGGACTGACACAGTGATGCTACAATGGGCTCTCATGTGTCAGGAAGTGTGAGGCTGGCACAGGCTAGAACAGGTTTCAGATCTTTTTTGTTCATAAGGTCGCTATGAGTCATACTCGACTTGATGGCACCTAACAAAATGCTGATCACCTTAAAACTACAACCAAAAACTGTACAAAAGATAATAAAATAAATGAAGATGTGTTATAATGCACTACAAGAAAATGTATTGATTGCATTTATTCAAGCAATAAATTTAAAAAAGACAACAGCAACAAACAATTCATTGCCACTGAATTGGAACTGACTCACAGATGACCCTCCAACCAGTTTTCAGAGGCTGAAAATAACATGGGAAGAGACTGTTCATCTTTCTCCCAAGCAGCTGCTGGTAAACTCAAACCTTGCACCTTTAGGCTGGCTGTACAGTTCTCTCCCTACACCCTAGGCTGTCAAAGCATCTTTTAGTAGAGGGAGATGAATACAAATAAGAAAACAAGTATTAAAGATTTAAAAACAAACAAACAGCACTACATTAAGGGCTGCCACACTCAGGAGACAGAAGAAAGGAGGGACTTTGAAAAGGAGTAGGGATTTCCATACCCTCTCTCCAAATGGATAATTTACGTGGTTCTTGATTCAAAAGGCTCTTCAGTGATAGATCTCGCTCCCTCTCTCTCTCTTCCCCCCAGCAGCTCAGTTCTCCTGTCCATAGTCTACCCTTCCTGGAAGTTTACATATAAGCAAACAACTGTTATTAATGCATAGTTGTTCACACTAACGTAGCATTTTATGCAGTCATGTACAGCCTTGAATCTTGCTTTTTCTTCACTTAACAGCATATCCCAATGTTTGTTCCCTTATTAAACCAATTGCTGGTGAGCTGGTTCTAACTCACAATGACCGACAGGGTAGAGCAGAAGTGACTCACTGGGTTCTCAAGGCTGTCAATCTCTGCGAAGCAGACTACTACAACTTGGTCCTGTGGATGGCTGTTGGGTTTGAATCTCTGATCTTTCTGTTAGCAGCTGCACACTTCATCACTGAGCCACCAGGGAGCCTTCTCAGTAAATACAGAGCTGCTCTACTCTCATTCATTTCTTCATCCATGTTCTTATAGTTACACATACACTGTTTCTAATCTTTTGCTGTGAAAAATCTAAGACACACATCATTTCATATGTGAATAAATCTGTATGGAAAATTCTGGGATGTGGAATTACTGGATCAAAGGATATATGTATTTGTAATATTAGCAGACATTCAGAACAGTGATAGTAATGATTCTCTTAAGCTGACCCAGGAAGAGATTCCCAGCCAGGCAAAAGGTGGGAGAAGGTCAAGCAGTGAAGGGCCCTTTGGACCATCATGCTGTGGATTAATACTTACATAGTTACCATTGTCTTTCATTAATTGTTCAACTTCTGGACTCAAGGAAACTTGAAAAAGTACTTAATACCTTTCTAGTTGTTCAGATTCTACTTAGCGTCTCTGAACCTGTTTTCTTTAAGATCTGTAAAATGCGGGTAATTCTCTCATTTTCATTTGTGGGACTTAACTAAGGTAGAAGTATTTAGTAAACTAATAGAAGACAGATTCATCTAGAACTCTTGTCCAAGAGTCATTCCAGAGATTATAGGTGAGTCCAATTTTAGGCATTAAACATCACTAGAATAAGATTTTCTATTGTTCCATTTGTAGCATCATCCTAAACAAATAATAAAATCTGACTCAAATGAATTCTAAATACAGAAGCATGGAGGGACAACACAGGAGAAGAACAACCTAGATGAGATGGATTGATACAGTAACTGAGGCAGTGGGGGTAGGTGTGTCCAAGTCTGTGAAATTGGCTCAGGACAGGGCAGCCTTCAGAGCTGTTGTACATAGGGTTGCTATGAGTCATAGGCAAATGGACAGCACATAACAACAAGTGATGTTCAATAAGAACTGTCAAGCCACGTGCAGAAAACTGTGCAAAAAGCTGACCTTATGAGAGGGAAGTGAGAGAGACAGGGAAAACAGAAAATAGAGACATTAAAATAGGTGAAGAGAAAAACTATATTCATTAAGGAGATGCACAGCACAGTATCACTAAAGTGGAATATACAGAGAGGTGCTACAAGCTATTACACACTCGATCCTGCATTATCAGCAATAATAAACATTATTCTACACGTGTCTATATAGGCAGACAGCCAAACAGATACAGGTAGATGAAAGGATTATGCCTGCGATCACTAGTATCACTAGCAGATGATATTTCTATATTCATCTTAGTGTATGTTGTAAATATAGTCACAAATATAGTGAAGCCGAAAGGGGGCAAAGTTACATAATCTTTTTATTTTTAAATTTTATTATTTTGTGTGTGTACTATCAAATCGGATCTGACTGGGACAGAAGGGAGTTGCCCCTTCTTCTCCAGCAGAGAATCTGGTGGATTCAAACCGCATGCCTCTGGGTCTGTAGTGCAGCTTCTTGCCACTAGACCATCAGGGCTCCCTATACTTTTTAACCATAACCAAACACCGTGAAGAAGGAAGGTGCCAGTCCTAAAGCCCTGGAATTCCAGACAATATCTAGAACCTATTGTTAACTGAAATGTGATTAAATTATGGATATTAACATCATAAAACAAAATGTATATGAATAGTATGAATGGTTGAATGGATTTACAATTTGCTTTGTAAACTTTCACAGAAATCATGACTTTAAAAGAAGTCCTTCAGTTCATTCATCACCATTTATACACTAACAGAATTTAGCCAGAGCCTGTGAAAGAACCAGTTATCAATTAGAATGCAAGGTTTTGTCTATCGTCTTTGCCTTTTAAGGAATAGGTCTCTACTGTACTATGGCTATGGTCAATCCTCTTGTCACTTCCTCTTCCATTTCAACACAGGCTTGTGTGCTGAGGATGAGCACTGGTGGGGCAGCGGGTTAAGTACTGGGCTGTTAACCAAAAGCGTGGCCTTTTGGAGCCACCAGCTTCTCAGAGAGAGAAAGATTACACAGTTGGCTACCATTCTAATCTCTCCTATTAGGTAGTTACAAATTGGAATCAACAAGTACCAGCACGTTTGGTTTGGCTTTGGTATTTTGCCTGGTAAAGCTGGTCTAGAGACAAAAAAGAAGAACTCAGGCCCTGCACCACCTTGGGGGAGGGGCCTCTGCTGGAGCGCAAGTGTCTTCAAAGACCCTAGATGTAGAGGAGAAAGTGGAGGGAAGGAGAGGGCGGGGCAGTGGAGTCAAAGATGCTTCTGCACTTCTCTCCTAACCTTTGCAACCAAAACAATGGCTCCAACTCTATTTAAAAAACAAAAAACCAACAAAGACCCCTGTAGCAAACTGAATTAACCCTCAAGTCCAGTTGCTTCTGTTAAGGTGCTGTACTTGTTTCTGGACTTCCCTGAGCAATTAAAAAAAAAAAAAGATAACGTTCTAATCTTAAAAATTTCTAAAAAAGCAGGAATTCCCAGTGCACACGTATCCTTAATGAAATCTCCACAGCTCCGTACACAGAGCATTTCTTTCCTGAACTCGCTGAGCTAGGCGGAACTAGTCATGTATTATTGACATATTATTTCAGGAAGATGGTCTAATTTAATTTCCGGCCACCAGGGCTTAAAATCCTGCTCAGGGTCCCCCTCAAAGGATTGGGTTTTCTTGGAAGGATGCCCTGCCACTCTTTATTACCTTCTTTATTCTTCTTTTAGCAGGTCTAATTACGGAGTGATAAATCTTTAACAGAACTCGCAGCACTGCCAGGAAGGAGCAAGCCACAGGTCAGCAACTCATCACCTTCATTCTCAACAT